GATCTTCTGCCTCTTTTTGTTGGCGCCCCGCCGAAGGGCGACGGGAGGAGAGTCTTTTGCGGTTCAGAGTCTTATTATGGGGTGTACGCCTTTGTCTGTCGCTTAGTGTTCATGGATTAGGGCTGCCTCCTCAGCCTAAACGCAGGTCCTGAACACAAAATTTGTTATGATCATCAGAGTTAGGGGGGTGGTGTCGACCCCTGGGAATAAAAAATGGCGATCCAATCAGTTAGTCACCCATGAGTATTTGGGGGGAGTTACTCCCATCGATGAACGGTTTTGTCCGGTCATCGTTGGGGGGTCTTTAATCCCATCGATGACCGGTCATAACCGGTCATCCAAGGGGGTGTTTGGGGGGGTTGACTCCCATTGATGACCGGTTTTGACCGGTCATTGATGGGGGTGTTTGGGGGTGTTTGCTCCCATCAAGGACCGGTCAATACCGGTCCTTGATGGGAGTGTGTCCTCCATTGATGACCGGTCAAAACCGGTCATCAATGGGGTTGTTTATTCCCATCAAGGTCCAAACTGGCCCTTGATGGGAGGCTTACCCCATCAAGGACTGGTTGAAATCAGTCCTTGATGGGGGTGTTTATCATCCATGGGAGATGTACTCCCAGTCCCATGGATGACTGGGTGTATTGATGGGGCGTGTAGAGTCCAAGGGGTTGAGACAAGGTCACAAACCCCTTGGATACATGGCTAATTTGGCGGATCAGTGCCATGTTTGGCGGTTCAGGGGCAATGATGGCGGCTCAGGAGCATGGGTGGCCAATTTGGCGGTTGGATTCAATTTTCAATTTGGCCATTCTGGCGGTTCAGGGCCGTCATTTGGCGGTTATTTGGCCAAAGTGGCGGTTCATCCCCATGTTTTCATTTTTTTTGGCCAAAATGGCTGTTCAGTACCTCCATACAAAGAGTTTGTAAATTTAACAAATCAAACGACCCTTTGGGGTGGAGATGGTCTAAAAATTTCCTTCTGGGGCTTCTAGTTTGAAGCCCCCAACAACAGAATCCTCCTGTACTTTTAATCAGGAGTACTCAGCCTGCAAGGGCCTGGAAGTTCTAACCAGTATTATCCCCTCCAATTGGGTGCCCAAAAAGGGTTTATCTTCTCCAGAGGCCCCCCCTAGAAGTCCCCAGAACCACAAGTTGCCCCATCACCGGGGGCTTTGTTTTCACCCGCCCAGGTGAGATAATTGTTGAGTGAGCTATTTTCCTTCATCTGCTTCCTCCCTGTTTCTCATAAGTCACAGCCTGTGTAGTTACCTCGGGCCAGCAAGGTGGATGAATGGTTTCCACATCCTTCCATTCACCCATCATTGCTGGACCCAGTTGGCTGCAACAGGTTATGAGTCCCATTGCGTGATAAACTGCAATTTTTTTTGAAGGATCCATAGGCTTGTCGACAAAGCCATCAACACACATTTCCGTCTGCTTTTGTTTATAAAGCTATCACTTACAATACCGTCCGCTTTTGTTGGAATTCCACCTGAGCTCTCTCCGCTCTCTGCACTCCCATCACGCTCCTTTTTCTTGATCTCTTTCTATCTCTTCTTTTCCTTTTCTTCCATTCACATTCTCAATTCTTCCAACCATCACTTGACCAACTCAACACTCATCAACCTGTATCATTCCGCAAATGGTCTCTTTCTCAGTCCGCATCAACCACACCTCAACCACTCAATCAACAAATATAAAAACCCGGTTGCTCTCTCACACTCAATCAACTTTTCCCCCAACAGCTCCAACTCTCACAACATACTTCACCAACAACAATTGACCACCTCTTCTATCAAATTAGTCCTCAACTGCTTGGACTCTTCTTTCTCCCTTCAAAAACCAACACAATTCCCTTCTCCCTTGCCATCCAACTCCGTTTCTTCTTCTCTCTTTTTCTCTTTCTCTTATCAGCGGTGGGTCGCTACGCTACACTACGCTACGGGCCCATGTAGCGTTAGCGTAGCGGCGCCATTTTTTTTCGTGTAGTGTTAGCGCGCCGCTACGGCCGCTGCGCTACGCTAATTTGTAGCGGCGCTAACACTAACCTTTTTTTGGTGTAGTGTTAGCGCGCCGCTGGCGCCGCTACGCTACAGTGTTTTTAGCGGCAAAAAAAGGCAAAAAACCGCTAAAAACGGCCGTAACGCAGCGTAGCGGGCAGTTTTTGGCGGCCTGTGCGTG